TATGGTGGGAGCATACGTAAGCTTAGTAAGAGTTTTCCAAAACTAAGCTCTATAGAGTAAGCTTATGTGTAGGAAAGATTTTTCTAAAGGTCACTAAGCTTGTTAAGATATACTAAGCTTAGTAAGCATATGGATCTGAAAATACGACATCTGTGTCATGGTGGACAAAACTTATGCATTCACCAAGGTCACTAAGCTTGTCAAGATATACTAAGCTTACTGAGCACACGGATGTTACATAAGCTTACATATGCTTAGTATGATGTTTCCGAACCTAGGCCCCTCATATCAATGTCAGGTCAATGTCAGGCCAATGTCAGGTCAATGTCAGGTCAATGTCAGATCAATGTCAGGTCGATGTCAGGTCAATGTCAGGTCAATGTCAGGTCAATGTCAGGTCAATGTCAGGTCAATTTCAGGTCAATGTGAGGTCAAGGTCAAGTCAGAGACAATATAGGACATATTTGTCATGTGGACAAAACTTATGCATTACTTATACATATGGCGGGGCAATATGCTTGTGTGAGCGCATTATGATGGGGGTGCTATGTTCCCCCAGAGTTAATAATATTTAACGTGGCCTGACACAGTCTCTTGACGAATTAAAATTAATTACCCTTCCGGTTGCGTTAATTAAATTTAACTATCGATATGGAGTATATAAGCTGGTCGATTTAAAATTTTTGTTGCTCGTCATCTCGTAAGCTTATTATGCTAAATAAGCTTGGTAGGGCTCAGTAAGCTTAGTAAGAGTTTTGCAAAACTAAGCTCTATAGAGTAAGCTTATGTGTAGGAAAGATTTTTCTAAAGGTCACTAAGCTTGTTAAGATATACTAAGCATACTAAGCATACGGATCTTACATAAGCGACTACATACGACCAACCTGGAGGCTAATGGAATGAACCTATTTGGAGAACGAACGACAAATCGATGAATGATCGTGATCCATAAAAGACATATCTTTATTAGAATTCATTCCTCGAACGAGATATAGGTACTTGAGCCATGGCCACAGGATCTCATCCCTGCGGCCATACCCTCAGGGCCAACCACCACCCTGAGGACCTGGTATCCCCACATACGGTCCCTCTAAATGACGGGGTGTTGACAACATGGATACCAGGGCTCTTGTGCGGCTAATTAGTCGATCATAAAATATAAAAGAGTATTGAAACTAATCGAAACGAGTATCGACGATTGCGATCATTTTTTCGCGGAGTCTCAACCTCGGCGAACAAATTTTCGTCATCTGTGACGACCTGATCAACAACGACAGAGGTAGACGGACCAGCTTCCGTAGAAGCTTCGCCAATCGTGTTTTCCACGACAATTCCGGATTCGTCATCGCTTCGCCGGGCCCGTTTAGCCTCGGGCTGGTCGCCCTCATGCTCGGAGTCGGATATTAGATCCACAAGACTCCGCTTGTGGACATTATTTCCCCGCCAATTTTGATTTGCTAAAATGACCTCTATAGAGTCGGCGTGGTGGTTGTACAAATCTAAAAATGCCTTAAGGGCCAAATAATATTTAGACGCAAGTAAAACGTCTTGCTCCCAAATATGGCGGAGCGCTGCATCCGCGCTCCGACTGAGTGCAAGGGCCTCGAGTACGATGCCGCGTTGTAGTTCGGATGCCAGGACTGGCATTTGCCTTCGCCCGAGGCACGGAATTTTCAACCCTTTTTTTTTGACTAGAGGCGCGTTCGCTAGTCGAAGGCCTATACACCGTTCTCAACTGACTTCGAACGTTCTGTACACGGACCCGTCGGGTATCGTTATCACTAGTACCCGGGCGTGGGTCGGTGGGGATGGAAGCGTCGGCATCAGTTTGTCTCGCATGATCAGGCGGCAGTGTATCGGTCGAAATTTTTGATCTCTCAACGAGATCGAAATGCTTCTCCCACTTCACCAGCCCGGTACTCCGCATTGCCTTCACTTCGAATGTTCGGTCGGGAAGAAGGCCAGCGAAAAAGGTAAGCCCGTTGACTGCTTTCACTGTCGTTACGACACAGTGAAAGTGCGGACGAGGGTATGAGCAAACGGTATCGACTCTAATCAAAGGAATTTCATCAAAAATCATTCGATGTGTTGCGACATTTTCCGCCGATCCGGATGTTGATTCAATATTGAGTCTGTCCGACTCGATCGCATCGGCGTCTGACGCCTCGGTCCTGATGATGACGTTCCATCACTTCGTGCTGCATCCAGTGGACTAATGAAAGAAAAGATTAGAAAAACCAAAAAGTGGTGTGTCAGTCCTTGCAGAAGTCATCGCATCATGAATGCACACATCACTCGATAGCTGGGGCGCTGCGATTATTCGAAAAATTCCTTCTTTGCGCCAATGGTAATCGTAAAAGTTTGAGACGATAAATTTCTGACTAACTCCCGAAGGCGAGTCAAATTCGCTTCGCCTAAATGATGCAAATCATCGATCGTCGTGGACAACATCTGACATAAGACGTCGCCAAACACGACACACTCTAGCCGTAGTCCATCAAGGTCTTCGACCTCCACCGAACAAGAGACGTTCCACCTGAAAATCTCCACGTCCGTCGTACAACGAAGACATTGGTACCCATGTTCTCCTCGCTCAATGAGCCGCTTATAACATCGTTCATTCGGACAGAATTTATAAAATGTCAAATTTTCGTCGATGCTCGCGACTCGCCTGTCACCCGGGCAGAAAAAAACTTGTTGACCGGCCGTTCTCGCATTTTATGAACGATATCACCTACAGCGAAATCCACAACGGCGTCGGGAAAGTCGAACATTGGCCGGAAATCGGCAGCCGATCTGGGAATTCTCGACCACCATTCATTTAACGTCTTAATATCATGAATGGAGTCATCGAACACAGCCTCGGAGTCTACCGTCTGATTGAAGGTGGGCATGTCCTGGAACATACCGACCCTGATGCGCGTCAAAATACATGCGCTACCAATTTTGCTTACATAAGTAGCGCGTAGATCCGACCAGATCGTGACCACGATGGAACGTTTGAACATGTTTTGAACATGTAAGCTTATGTAAGCCTCGTAAGGACAGCAAGCTCATGTAAGCTTGGTATCCCATGATGGTCAGAACGACAAGCCATACACAAACTGAAGTTAAACACAGACAAACACGACGTTTGCCATACACTGGACAAAACTTATGCATCGACCTATCGAGAGAGCCTATTACGATAACGAACAAGATCGGGATGATCAAATAGCCGAGCTTAGGGAAAGGAATCAAAGCCATACTGTCGAAAACGATCAAATCAGCCTCATAATAGAGCAAATGGAGACCGAAAGATTAAAACAGCAAAAGGAAACAAGTAGCTAGGTTAGAAGAGGCTAATCGCGGAGGGCTCTCACAGGCCGAACTAGAAAAGGAAATAGAAAAGATAGCCAGCGAGGCAGACGTCGTTAAACTGGTGGCTAGAGACTGGGTGAAGGACGCATTCGTAAAAACGAGGACGTGCACCCGAAGTATCCTAGCACCCGCACCGATCAGAGTCGTAGTCGCAAATGAGGCGAATTCGAAGGACAAGGAAGTCCTAACTAGACTATCCGCGGCCTACCCGAACATAGCCGAGCGACTAAAGAAGCTAGCTACAGGCAGACCGCTGCAGCTGAGATGCATGGAAGAGATCGTCGACGATGACGATACAGAATCGCGAACCCCGGACCCACAAAGACTGATAATAATCAAGACGAACTCACCAGAACTGAAGGACATCGTGACGGCACTTAAAACTGCTCTGAACAAATTAGAGGAGGATGACTCAGCAACCGTGACGATCTTCATGACTCACGACACTGATGTCACCACAGCACTGAAAATAATCGAATGTTGTTGTCAGCAAAACGTCGGAGTCGAGCTGTGCGCTAAAGGACGGAAGCTCAAGAGCAGACCTGAACGTAGCGATACAAGCACGCTGATAATCAAGAATGCTGAAGGTAACTCTTACGCAGACACAGTAAAAAAGATGAAGGCAACGATGAACCCGTCCGAGCTGAGCATAAACATCCAGAGAATCACGAAAACGCGCGACGGAAACGTCGCTCTGAGACTCCGGGATAGCAACACTGAGGCCTGCCAGAAGCTCCAGCAGGACATCAACAAGCTGACCGGCAGTACAGTTCTGATGAAACGAGAAGCAAAAAGCCAGATAATAGTCCACGACCTTGACGGCGCGACCTCGGCTGACGAGATCCAGGCAGCAATCAGGGCAGAAACGAGCGAAAAAGGAGAAATCATCGTGAAGGAACCGAAGGAGACACGAAACGGCACGTGGTCAAGCACAATAACAACATCAAGAGTCTGCGGCGAGCGTCTGCTCAAGGCCGGTAGACTCCGACTGGGTTGGAATCTATGCAGAATAACCGAAAAGATAGTGGTCCCAATGTGCTCGAATTGCGCATGTGTGGGACACGACGCACACCAATGCCAGACACAGAGAGGAGCAGCGAAGAGGTGCTACCGGTGTACCCAGGAGGGTCACGAGGCTGCGAATTGCGAAAATACACCACGGTGCAATGCCTGCAATAAGGAGGGAAACCAAGGAACGTCATACGAATGCCCAGTCTATAGCCAATATATCAAAGATAGGATTAGAGCAGACAGGAACAGACAGGGAAATCAATAAAAATGACCAGAATACTCCAAATTAATCTAAACAGGTGCCGCGCTGCACATGACCTCATGTTGCACACGGCAAAGCACTTCGGAGTCGAAATCGTATTGATTACCGAGCCAAACAAAAAGAAAATGGACAGCCAATGGGTGACCGATCAAAGAACCGACGCGGGTATTAAGCTACTCACAAGGGGCACCCCTCTGAGAAAAGAATCGGCTAATGGTTTCGCCTGGTGTGACTACGATAATGTTAGAATCTTCTCATGCTACTTCAGCCCAAACGAAACGATAAATAATAGAATTCGAAAACTCACTCGAACGGCTCGGAGCTCGGATAATTGAGTTTCAACGGCATTTTCGGGATCGCGGCCTGCTTATCACCGGCGATTTCAACGCCGCCTCCGTCCTCTGGGGCAGCAAACGCACCAATAGTAGAGGAACAATTCTAGAGGAATGGCTGGGACGACTCGGACTCTCGATTATGGACAGTGGTACGAAACCGACATTTCAGAGGGGGAGGCAGCAGAGCTTCCTCGATCTGACTCTCTGTAACGACAGGCTAAAGGAAAATATTAGGGACTGGATGGTCTTGGACATCGAATCACTCAGTGATCATAACTACATTCTTCACACAATGCAGGACAACCCGGAAAACTCTAGCCACGGCTCACCTGAGACCAGAAGAGTCCTCGACCCGGAGAAATGCCGGCAGGAGCTGGAAAGGCGGCTCAGGGGCAAAACGCTCGGAGCCAGGCAACTAACCGAGGAGACGAAGAAGGCATGTAGGAACTCAATGACCGAAATCCCACAGAGGAGGAACCAAGCGTATTGGTACAACCAGAGGATATCGGAACTCAGGAGGAGCTGCATGAAAGCTCGACGGAAAAGCCTTAGAGCAAGTCCTGAAAGGTGGGAGGAAAACAGAATTATCTATAGGGAAGCAAGGAGCGAGTTAAATAGGGCTATCATTCAGTCAAAGAAGAAAATATGGAACGACCTATGCGAGGAAGTGGGAAGAAACCCCTGGAGCATAGGGTATAAGATCGTTATGGAGAAATTGCACATCCAAAAGACCGACCTGACGAAGGAGCTGATAGGGGATGCCCTGAAAGTACTCTTTCCGGAGCACGAGCGATTGGCCCGGCAGGCGGGCGAGGACGCCGCAGGACCAGCGGACTTCGAACCGATCAACGACGAGGAACTAAAAGAGGTGAGTAAAAAACTAGCAACGAATAAGGCTCCGGGGCCGGATAAAATCCCGGCAAAGGTAACGAAGATGATTCTCAGTAATTTTAAAGAAGAATACAAACATGCTATGAATGGATTGATCGCGTCGAGGGCCTTCCCGAAAGCCTGGAAGCGAGCCGAAGTGGCACTGATCCAGAAGCCGGGGAAACCCGCGGAACTTCCGAACTCATACAGGCCGATCTGCCTGCTGAGCACGCTCGGGAAATCCTTCGAGAGTATACTGAATAAGCGATTAGTAGACGAGCTAGACAGAAGAGAAATCATCAGCGAAAACCAGTTTGGGTTCCGCAAGGGACGATCGACGATCCAAGCAATTCGAAAGCTCACAGATATAATCGAGGCGGAAAACAGCAAGAAAAACATCAAGTCGAGAGACTTGATCTTGGCAATTTTCATAGACGTCAAGAACGCCTTTAACTCGTTAAGCTGGGCATCCGTCTCACGGAGCCTATCGAAGAACAACATCTCAAAGCCCTTAAGGTACATGATAGATAGTTATCTTAACGACAGGACTATCACCTGTAGAGGAGTGCAGATGGAAAATATCGGCAGGGGTCCCCCAAGGATCGATCCTGGGCCCGACACTATGGAATCTAGCGTATAACGAGGTTTTCGGGCTTGACTTACCGCAGGATTGCGAAATAATCGGATACGCGGATGACATCGTTGTTGTGGTACGAGCAAGAACCGAAGAGTTTCTAGAAACGAGAGGAAACGAGTTTATAAGACTGGTAAATGAAAAGTTACGGGAGATGAGGCTTGAGACCGCTCCGCAAAAATCAGAGGCGATAGTATTCACAAGGAAACATCAAACTGAGCCAATCAAACTACACCAAGACGATGACCCTATCAACTTGAGCAATTCGGTCAAATATCTAGGCATAACTCTGGACAGAAAACTCACTTTCGTCCGGCACGTAAACACGGTCTGCGAAAAAGCCGCAAAGAAGGCAAAAATGCTGAACAGGATCCTCCCACGAACCTCTGGAGCCGATGAGGCAAAAAGGAGACTCCTGGCCAAAGTCACGGAGCAGATAGTAAGCTACGGAGTCCAGGTCTGGGAAAGTGCACTGGAATATGGGAAAGTCAGAGAGGAACTAGAAAAAACTCAGCGAATAAACGCGGTGAGGGTAAGTAAAGCATATAGAACAGTACACACGAAAGGCATCTTAGTAATAGGCAGATTAATTCCCTGGGAGATTAAGTTCAGGCTCAGGAAGGAGATCCGCGAAGGCCTTGTACAACCGATGAACTTTGAAGAGGAATGCCTCGACCGATGGCAGGTACGGTGGAGCACGGAGGTAAGTAATAAAGGAGCTCGAATTAAAAAACTCATTACAGACGTCAGGAGATGGTACCACAGAGAGCACGGAGAACTCTCCTATGAATTAACGCAGTTTATAACGGGACATGGAGCTTTCAGACAGTACCTCCATCGGATCGGGAAGAGGGAAAGCGACAGGTGCCCCCTCTGCGGACTCGAGGAGGTTGACACCCCGGAGCACGGGGTTTTCCATTGCAGGTTCTTCGACAGGGAGCGGGAAACGTGGCGAGAGATCGCAGGCGGCGAAAACAACCGGGACAACATCATCGATGCCATGATTGAGGACGAAAACGTCTGGAAGGCAACCCACACACTCATTAAAGAAGTAATCAGCACGAAGGAAGCGAAGGACAGGGAAGAGGAGCGAGCTCCGACTCAGCCGACACCCTGGGACCAACTGAAGGAGGATAAAGGAGAGGGGAAGATGCCAAGAGAGGAGGCGGATGCAGACGACAGTGTTCCCGCCTTCTCAGCGGACACAAACCCTCGCCCGAAACCCTCGACTCGAAACCACCGAGCAGCGACGACGACGGAACAGCCGGCCCCACTCCTGCGTTGACCTTGTCCCCGAGAGGAGTTCGGTGTGGTAATTTGATAAGCTAGAGAGTGAAAAAACGGTGTTTAGAGACTAATACGTGATCAAATAGGAGATTCACCGGCTTCGGAACGCTGTCGGATCGTTTGGTAAACGACTCGCAGCGCGGGTGAGCGACAGAAAATCCCCCAAAAAAATTTTTCGTCCTTAAATTTTGAGTTTAGCAAGCCACAAAAAAAGGCACCTTAGTTAGACCTTTTTGTTAATTTTTCCAAATTTTTCCAAGTCGGGCCACGGGCCACGTGCTCATCCAAATAGTTAGATATAGTCACCATTTTTCAGGGACTTGGTCAGGGCCCCGCAGGGGATAAGTCCCTGGGTAATTCGGGGTCGAGGAATTCAAATATCGAGTCAGAATTTCATTTTTCCCATTATTTCAAGTTTAGGCCTAGCGTTAGGCCTAAAATAACCATTGGCGTTGAAAAAAAAAAGGTTGGTTAGGTTAGTCCGCACCCAACAGCCGGGGAACCCGTACGTTTTTCGTCGAGCTCCGCTCCTGTACGTCGTAGAGTGACAGTGGAAGTGTCGAGAGGTAGGCCGTCGAAAGACAACAATTCTGAACCGCGGACGGGCAGAATTGGGCCACCTGGAGTGAAGTTGTCGTTTTTTGACCGAAAAGTTGACTTTGGTGGAACACGGTGCCGGTTCGACTTTGGTGAATTATTCCGGGAATTGAGGACATCGATCCGGAGTAATCCGGCCGAAATACGGAAGAGCATCGCAAGGACCACCCAACGGACGCCCTACGGTGAGATTTTTCCTACCGGTCTAGGGGATATCCGGCCTAGAAGGCCCCGTTCGGCTAGGGCAGTGTTCGTTCGGCTTGAAGGGTCCCGTCTGGCACCGGGGGGCCTTTAAGCGGGCGCTGTTGGAGGAGGCGCGAAGATTCAAAGACCGTGACCTTGAAAAACTTTCAAGGTCACTTGAAGGTCATTTGAAGGTCATCTGGAGGTCGTTCAAGGTCACTCAAGGTCAAACTTTGGGGGCCCATAACTCGACAGGGGAGCGCCGGAGGAGCCGGGGAACAGCAACGGGGGGGGTCTGCGTCGGATTCCCCGTTCAGCCGCCCAAGGTCACCGGAAGGTCATCGAGGAAAAATCGGGTTTTGGGGTTGTGACCGTAAGGGGAGGCCCCGGACCCGAGAGAAGACTTCGAAACGACACCCGAGCGCCGGATTGTGACCGTAAGGGGAGATCCGGCGCTTGTGGGGAGGCCATGGACGGGAAGAAGCCGAGCGAAGGAGAGGCCTTCACCCGAAAGGGAGGGCTAGCAAGGACTCCTGTCGAATGCAGGGTCACGGATGGGGCGGTCACCGAGTCGGCCGACGAGGTGAGCATGAACACCCCCCCGGAGACGATGATCCTCGAGGAGATCCGCGACGAAGGAGCTGCCAAGGTGACCGGCGAAGCTGAGACGGATGCGAGGGCCCGGACCACGGCCGTGAATGCCGGCACCGCGGGCGGGAAGAGCACGACGCACACGCTGGACATAGGCGACCTGTTCAGACAAGGGGCCCTACAGGCAGTGTCATCGACACCCCTGAGACCACCGAGGCTCCTGGTGACATCGGGACCCGAACCAAAGGGTAAGACTGCCAAGAAGGCCAGGAAAGCAGGGAAAAGGAACAGGAGCGACACGGAGGAGGAGCACTCACTGTGCGAGTCGACGATCGCGGACAACCCCTCGGACCCAGCAGAAACCCTCCCGGACCTGTACAGAGAGGTGCACAGAATGCTAGAAAAGTCAGAAGCGCTCGAGAGGCTCATCAAGGAGCACCCGAACACGCAGAAAGACATCAAGGAGGCGGTTAGGAAGATGCACAGCTTCACGATCGGGGCCTGCCGGAAAGCGGACCACCTGAGACAGCTCAGGAAGCAACGTCTGAGCAGTGGAACGCAGGCTGAGCTCAGCCCCCAGACAGCAGTTACGGCAAGCGAGGTTGAAGCCAAGGAGGCGCAGCAGTTCCGGATGAGAATAAACGAGGCCAACGGAGATCCGGCGAAGATGACGCAGCTCCTGAAAGAGGCCTGGCCTAAGAAAGCCCTGACGAAGACCAAGCTCGTCAGAAGCAGCATTCAGAGCGGTCTGAGCGACAGGGCGGTCTTCGTTCGAGCGGACCACCCGAAAGACAGGGAGCGCCTTCGATTGCTGGAACAGCAATTCCCCGGAATGGACCACGAGAAGATCCTGGAAAACCTGAAGGAAGGAGCGATCGCGACCTTAAAGAACGAAAGCAGCATCAGCATGGAAGCGGACGATGCCCCCGAGGCAAACCCACCGAACAGCTCGCGGACCTTACTCGTGGGGAGAATGGGAGGGCAGAAAGAGGGGGCTGACGACGATTTGGAACTGACCAGCCTGGTCCGGAAGGTAATGAGGCGATTCGAGGAGAAAGGATCGAACCTGATAAGGGTGCAACCCTCGGAGGCATGCGATCTGGAGAAAGTCCGGAAAGCATTTGAATGCTACACGGAGGGGCTAAATATCAAGGTTGAGGTCTGCGCCAAGAGCGCGCGCGGGCTGCCGACGAAGGAAGGCCTTGGCCGACGCCAAAAGACGACCACCATGCAGAAGCCGGATGTAGGAGTCGTGATGGTGAAGCCCACAGGTAGGAGCTTCGCGGACACCGTCCGGGACCTCAAGGCCCATGCGAAGGCGGAAGACGAGAGTGTCGCACTCGAGAAGATTTCGATCACGAAGACCGGCGAAATCCGGCTACAAATGAAAGAGAAAAGGCTGGGAGGGAAAACCGCCTTCGCGAAGGCCCTCGCGGGGAAGGCGACGCTGCTGCAGGCGGAAGTAAGAGATGTCTCGATGCTGGTCCCCGTGGCGATACGGGGCATTGACGCAACGGTGGACCTCGAAGAGCTTGAGGAGGCTCTGGAGCGAGAGGGGGTGACGAAAGAGGACCTCAGGGCGAATATCAGGCTGGGGGAAGTTCTAGCTGGACGAACGGGGACACGGACAGCCGTCGTGCGCCTCCCAAAGTCCCAGGCAACCCACCTCCTCGGGCTTGGGGTCCTCACGGTGGGCTGGTCGCGCTGTAGATGCCGAGTCACAATCTGGGAGCAGCTGCAATGCTGCTACCGATGCCAGCGATTCGGCCATCAGGCGAGAGACTGCAGGGAGGAGAAAGAAGAGACCCGTCGGTGCTATCGCTGTGGCAGTGACAGCCACATCGCGAAGGAATGCTCGGCGGCTATGAGATGCTACGTATGTGGCGTCGATGGCCACCGGGCGGACTCGTTCGGCTGCCCGAGACAGCGAAGCATGCGGCCACCCGCGGAGGGAGCGACGGGGACCACAGCGATACCTAAACGAAGAAGAAGGAAGAATGTGGAGGTCGAGAACTTTGACGAGGACTCACCGAACGGCTGCAAGGCCACTGGAGAGCTCGCCGGAGACAACAACGACGCCAGGGAGACACGGGGGGAGGAGGCCCAAGAGGCTCTCGCGCAGAAGACATTCATCGTGCGAAATGATGATGAAAATTTTGCAATGCAACATTAATCGGAGCCGGGCTGCCCACGATCTGCTCGAGAACACCATGTCTTCTCGGGGATGGCGAGTAGTCGGTGGGATGTCGACCCCAGGGGGGACGCAGCGATATGGGTTTCGAGGGAGAGGGAGGCAGAGATTCGGGGACGGGGAGGTGACGACGGCTTCCGATGGGTCGATGTGGGGGAGGCAGTTGTATACAGCTGCTATGTCTCACCGAACGCGGAGCAGGAGGCGTTCGAGGACTTTATTTACAGACTGGAAGTGAGCACCAAGTTCTGGGGCGCGCGCAGACTGCTCGTCGTGGCCGGGGATTTCAACTCAGCTTCAACCGAGTGGGGTAGCCGCACAACCAACAGGCGGGGCCAGCTGATCATGGAGATGGCGGCCAGGTGCGGCCTCATACTGGCGAATGACGGTAAGCAGCCGACGTTCACGAGGGGCGAGCAGGAGTCCTTCCTGGACCTCACGTGGTTTTCAGAAAACGGGGTTGGGAATGTTGTGAGATGGGGGGTTCTGGAGGACGAGACACTAAGCGACCACCGGTACCTTGAGTTCCGTATCGACAGGGCAGCGCGGCTGTCAGCTCCCGAGCCGACGAGACCGGAAACACTGAGGTGGAACCCTAGGAGGCTCGACCTTGAGGCAGCTCGTAGATCGATTTCCGAGAGTTTTGATGGGGCAACTCGGATCGAGACCCCGGATCAGCTGAACAACGTCCTCGGGGAGGCCTGCCTGCGCGCATCCTCAGGGAGACGGCCGGGGAAATTTCGCAAAAGCCCCAAGTACTGGTGGACCCCTGAAATTGCGGAGGCTGGAAAGCGGTGCATTGCCCTGCACCGCAGCTGCTTTAGGCGACGGAACCGGCCCGGTGAGGTCCCGGCCATGCAGGTTAGGTATAAGGCGGAGAGGAAGGAGCTCAGAAGACTCATCCAGAGGAGCAAAGAGCGCTGCTGGGCAGAGCTCTGCGACGAGGTTGAGAGGGATGCCTTCGGGAAGGCATACAAAATCGTGATGAAGAAGCTAGGCGTGGGTATCCCGGGGATGGCCCCCGGCCTTGTGAGGGAGGTAGTGCGAGGACTCTTTCCCGAGCACCCCCGCGGCGCTGGGCTTTCGAAGAGCGAGATTTCAGTTTCAGCTAGCTAAAGTGCGCGGAAAAGCATACGTATGCTCGCTAAGGTCACTAAGCTCGCTAAGGTGCGCGGAGAAGCTTAGCTAAGGTCTCTAAGCTCGCTAAGGTGCGCGGAGAAGCTTAGCTAAGGTCTGTAAGCTCGCTAAGGTGCGCGGAGAAGCTTAGCTAAGGTCTCTAAGCTCGCTAAGGTGCGCGGAAAAGGTTAGCTAAGGTCTGTAAGCTCGCTAAGGTGCGCGGATAAGCTTAGCTAAGGTCTCTAAGCTCGCTAAAGTGCGCGGAAAAGCATACGTATGCTCGCTAAGGTCACTAAGCTCGCTAAGGTGCGCGGAGA